GTGTGTGTGTGTGTTGCGATGCTCTAATTGGTTTAGCAGCCAAAGGGAGTCAAAGGGCAGCGCAGCGTATCGAGACGCAACGTAAACCTGATGCTGGGAAGATGCTTTCTGAGGGAAGAGCATGTGTGGGCCTTCCTGGCAAAACACTTCTCCAGACCCAAACACCATTGCGCTTTTTTCCTTTTTGCACATTTTTGTACCTCCCTTTTCCTGTTTTTGACCTTTTCACCAGACTTTTTTTGCTAAAAACTTTTGATCCTGTTGATGCTGAATCTAATGTTATTTATTTATTTGTTCATTCATTTGTTTATTTATTAGATAATTAGCCGTAAAAATAAACGAGCAGAAAATGTGTATTAAACTACTAGTTATTATGTAGTAAAAACTACAGTGAAAGCATTGTTTGTTTATTTATTAGTTCATTCATTCATTCATTCATTCATTCATTCATTCATTCATTCATTCATTCATTCATTTATTAGATAGTGAGCCACAAAAACAAAGAAGAAATTTCTTTTGTATTTTATATTATTTTTAAAGTTATTATGTTATAGTAAAAACTACAGTGAAAACATTGTTTATTTATTTATTTGTTTGTTTGTTTGTTTGTTTGTTTGTTTGTTAGATAATTAGCCATAAAAACAACTAAGCGAAAATATTTTTAGAGTTATGTCATTAGTAAAAAACTACAGTGAGCGCATTGTTAGTTTATTTATTTATTGTTTTGAAATTTATTTATTTAATCAATAATTACATTAAACAAACAAAAATTGTGTATTGTTTTTTGTTTTTTTTATATTTTTAGTTATTATGTTAAAGTAAAAACTACTTATTTATTAGTTTTTTTATTTATTTATGTATTTATTTGTTTGTTTGTTTGTTTGTATGTTTGTTTGTTTATTAGATAATTAGCCATAAAAATATTATTTTTACTTATGTCATTAGTAAAAAAAAAACTACAATGAAACCATTGTTTATTTATCTATGGATGTATTTATTTATTTATTAGTTATTTAGCCATAAAACAAACAAGTTTAAAAAAAAAATGTGTATTTTAAAATGATCTTTAGAGTTGTAAAAGTAAAAGTTAGGAAATACTAAAATGAAAATATTTTTTATTTATTTATTTACTTATTTATTTATTTATTTATTTGATAGTTAGGCATAAATAAAAACAAGCAAGCAAAATCTGTGTATCGTTTTTTTGTTAATTTATTATTTTTAGAGTTATTACTTTATAGTATAAAACTACAGTGACATTTTTGTTTATTTATTTATTTATTTATTTATTTATTTATTTATTTATTTATTTATTTGATAATCAGCCATAAAAACAAACAAGCAAAAAACAGTGTATTGTTTTTTGCTAAATTATTTTATTATTTTAAAGTTATTATGTTAAACATTGTTTAAATTGTTATTCATTCATTCATTCATTCATTCATTTATTCATTCATTTATTTTGTTTGTTTTCATGGCTAATTATCTAATAAACAAGCAAAAAAAAAATTTTATTATTATTTTATTATTTTTACAGTTATTATGTTATAGTAAAAACTACAGTGAAAGCATTGTTTGTTTGTTTATTAAATATTTAGCCACAAAAAACAAGCAAAAATATTGTGTAATTTTTAAACTAATTTTTTTAAGTTATGTTATGGCTATAATTAGTCGTAAAACCAAAATAAAAACTAAACTTTTTATTTATTTATAAATTTATTGTAATAACTTGGCATAAATATCTCAAATAAAACACATCGATGGCCATTATGTGCATGCATGTGTTTTATTGTAGGTTTTTATAACATGTTATCGTGCCGCTGTCTTCTCTGGCTTGCATGGTTCGGGATCTGTAGAGCTGCGCATCTATGGATTTGCTCTTTAGTGTTTGTACTCTCAGTAGTGATTATTAACAACACTGAACACTGTAAACTGAACTACACTGATTCAATTTACTATGATCATCTATGGGAAGCTGAGTTTTGAGTTATCACAATAAATAAATAAAATATAAACAAATAAATAACATTTTCACAAATTAGGTCACAATAAGTTTATAAATATAAATAAATAAATAAATAAATAAATAAATAAATAAATATATATATATATATGTGTGTTTTTTTATTCACAAATTAGGTTTAATGCATATATTCCCAGTTAATTTTTTCTCAATAGTATGCTTTGTCACATCAAATATAGCAGTAATGCCTTTTAGAAGTTTAATTATTTTAAAAGGACTTAACAATGTTAAAATCGTGAAGATATCATGTCCTGGAATAAATGATAAAGTGCATTGGATTGATTCAATATTGCAATTGTAGAAGGTCATTCAGTGCATACAGCAAAACTACCAGTATAAGTGTACAATTTAATGGATATGTTTTATGATAGTACTGGAACTTGATTAAGTTTGCCAGTAAAAATACTATAGTCCATAAATAATGGCACAACAGAACCTTCTATTGTTTCTCAGAGCACAAACAAGCTGATGTTGATGTCAGTTTAGCAGGCAGGCCTGTGTGTTAGAGATGTGAGATCACGTATTTGGTTGTGTGGCGACTGCTGCACATTATTATTCATGAGCGTGGGTGTGTTTCTGGAGCCTGGGGGCGGGATTATCTTTTCCCTTAGTGCTTGTTGTGCTGGAGGCCTCAGGACAGGGGTCTGTCTGGCACTGCCGCTGGGGTCTGATGGGTCTGGACTCGCTCCTGTCTCTGTCTTTTGCTGTATCACTTTCTCACTGGCTGCTGATTATCATTCTGGGACACTGGCGGAGCTCTGTGCCTGGCACTCTTTCACTCTCTGTCCCTTCCCAATGTAGAATAACATGATATCCTGCAGCACATCTACACACTAAAAAAAAATCCTTGGTGTTGTAACCCAACATTGGGTCAAATATACCCAACCATTGGGTATAAAAGTGTAATTTAAATTTAATTGAAAAAAACAACAACTTAGGTTTGTTTAGGGTTGTGTCAAATATGGCAAACCCAATGCTGGGTTCATTTGTTCAATTAAATTTAAATGGCATCTTTTAACAAAGTGGTTGGGTTTGTTTATTTTTGACCCAACGTTGAGTTATGGCAATCCAGCATTTTTTAAAACAAGGATTTGAAAAGAGAATATGTAAAGCAATCTCTCTAAAAATAATGGGTTGCTGTAACCTAACATTGGGTTGAATATTCCCAACCATTGGGTATTAAAGTGTCATCTACATTGAATTGAACAAAATTAACCCAACTTTGGGTTTGTTTATTTTTAAAATTCATATTCTTCTGTCTAAAGGTTGCATAAAAGAAAACCGGGACATCTTGGTCATTTTATAGACTTATATTTTACTTTTTAAACAAGGATTTCAAAGGGGATTTTGTGTCTTATAATTGCTGGGTTGAATATACCCAGCAATTGTGTATAATAGAGTCATTTAAATGTATAAAAAAAATAAAAAATAATAAATAAATAAAAAAAATAATAAAAAAATTAAAAAAAATAAATAAAATATATATATATATATATATATATATATATATTGGTTAGTTAATATTTGACCCAATGTGACAACCCATCATTTTTAGAATGCATATTCTTCTGTCTGGGTTGCATAAAATAAAGCGGGGACTTATTGGTCATTTTACAGACTTGTTTTTTTTTTTTTTTTTTTTTTTTTAACAAGGATTTCAAAAGAGATTTTGAGGCAAACACTAAAAAAACGCTGAGTTGCTGTCACCCAATGTTGGGTGCGTCAAATATGAACTGGGTTCATTTGTTCAATTAAATTGAAATAACACCTTTAACACAGTGGTTGGGTTTGTTCATATTGACCCAACGTTGAGTTATGGCAATCCAGCATTTTTTAAAACAAGGATTTGAAAAGAGATATTGTAAAGCAATCTCTCTAAAAATAATGGGTTGTTGTAACCTAACATTGGGTTGAATATTCCCAACCATTGGGTATCACGGTGTCATTTAAATTGAATTGAACAAAATTAACCCAACTTTGGGTTTGTTTATTTTTGACCCAGTGTGACAACCCAGCATTTTTAGAATGCATATTCTTCCATCTAAGGGTTGCTTAAAATAAAGCGGGACTTATTGGTAATTTTACGGACTTGTTGTTTGTTTTTTTTACAACAATGATTTCAAAAGAGATTTTGTGAGGAAAACATTAAAAAGTGCTGGGTTGTTGTTACCAAATGTTGGGTGGATCAAATATGGACTGGGTTCATTTTATTACTTCAATTTAAATAACACCTTTTAACACAGTGGTTGGGTTTGTTCATTTTGACCCAACATTATGGCAACCCAGCATTTTTTAAAACAGTCATGACAACTCAGTGTTTTTATTTATGTTTTATTATTATTTTGAGGTTTTCACCTTTAATGGACAGGACAGTATAGAGTATTGACAGCAAAGCATTGGGAGCGAAGTGGGAATTAAACTCTGGTCGCCGTGAGCACCATGCATGTGTGCATGTGTTGACGCACTGACCACTACACCACTAATAAAAGGACTAAGCCGACAAGAAAATGAATGATGAATGAATATTGGCAAAATGAAGCCAAATTATATGTATTTATGAAATAATAATAATGTTTGAGGATTTTTATTTGAAAGTAAATGAGAAAATAATAAGCACAACACTATTGTCTCGTATTCTTTGAAATATGAAGCTTTAAAAAGCAGACTGTGCTTTCTTGCTCATTTTACATGCACATTGGTGGTTCATTATTCATAAGATAACATCTTCAAAAGAGCAATGCAATACAAGACATATTTTTTATTTCCTTAAAGAACCTTGAAATGAAACCATTTATTCTTACGTTGATGAAGTTTGAAATTACCTGAGGAACATTTTTCAACAATCAAGAATCTTTTGTGAAATTAAAAGATTCCACGGATGTCAAAATGCAACAATCAGTGCCAATATAAAATACTTTTAATTCATGCAAAGCAAAACAAACCTTCTGAACCTCTGTGTCTGTGTGTCTGTCCGCAGGTGATGAGTATTTTGAGTAACCCCAGTGCTGTCCCGTCTCAGCCGCAGCATGATTTCTCCATCTCTCCTCTGCACGGCGGTCTGGAGGCGTCCAACCCCATCTCCGCCAGCTGCAGCCAGCGCTCAGACCCCATCAAGAGTGTGGACAGTCTGGCCTCGACTCAGTCCTACTGTCCCCCGACATACAGCGCCACCAGCTACAGCGTCGACCCCGTCACTGCCGGATACCAGTACAGCCAGTATGGCCAAAGTACGTACTGTACAGTCCCCGCATCACACACTCTTTACAGAGCTGCGTTTCTTTAGCAAAAATACACTCAATGTGCATTGTGTATTGTCACCTAGAATGGAAAAGCTGAATTTGCAGCGTCATAACTCAAGTCTTCAAAAGGGGGGCTAATAATTCTGACTTCAACTGTATATAGCACATTTTTTACAACACAATGTTGCTCAATATGCTGAACACAATCATAACTAAATAAAATAAAACCTACCTCACTGTGGCGAGGGGGCGTGGCCGAGAGCCGTGGGAATGGAATGAGGCCGCCGCGTAAGTGGATGCACCTGTGCTGCGCACCGGCCTCGGACGGCCTCGGACGGTCTCCGTGAGGAGCTGCCGTCTGTTTGTTTTGGTTTAGACGGCAGTCTCCGTGAGGAGCTGCCGTTCATATTATAAATAAATATTTTAAAACTAAAAAAAAAAAAAAAACTGTAATGAAGTTCACGGCCCTTTGGCCACCGGGAAGAAGGAGGCGGAGAACCGACGTAGTTTTAAAAAATGTATTTATAATATGATCGGCAGCTCCTCACGGAGACTGCCGTCAAACTGAAAACAAAAGTAAATCAATATGCCCGGGCCCGGTCCTCTCTCGGCCTCCTCTGCCAGCGTTCCTCCTCTTATAGTCCAGAGCTCCTTCCGTGGGATCCGAGGCCGGTGCGCAGCACAGGTGCATCCACTTACGCGGCGGCCTCATTCCGTTCCCACGGCTCTCAGCCACACCCCCTCGCCACACTCACATACATAACAATTAAACATAAGGCAAACCCCTCAACATAAAAAGGCTCAAATTCTAAAGAACAGAGATGTAGTTTCAGATGCTTTTTAAAAACAGATAGAGTTGGAGCGTGTCTGATGTGGGGTGCAAGCCCGTTCCAGAGTTTTGGGGTGATAACAGCAAAAGCCCGATCCCCACTTCGCTTACACTGGGACCCTGGTTCTGAAAGAATAAACTGATCAGAAGACCTTAGTGACCAACCAGGATTATATACATGTAGGAGCTCTGATAATTAAGGTGGTGCCAGATCATTTAAGGATTAAAAAACAAAAAATAATAGTTTTAAATCAATCCGTGACCTAACAGGCAGCCAGTTCAACTCTACAGTTTAACAAAGGGACTTTAATTGACATTTCAGTAGTTTAAAATAATAAAAGAAATAAAAAATTGAGAAATAAGTCTGTAAAATAACTAAAAATGTACTGGCAGTTTATTAGAAGGTCTTTGTTGCATAGTATGCAACACCAACATAGACAATATCACACTTTTAACTATTAAAAACCTTAATCATTTAAATCAAGTTGTTGGAAGAAAGATCAAGATCCCATAATGCAATTTAAAAGCATAAATAAATGTGGAGGCGAGGCAGTGGCGCAGTAGGTAGTGCTGTCGCCTCACAGCAAGAAGGTCGCTGGGTCGCTGGTTCGAACCTCGGCTCAGTTGACGTTTCTGTGTGGAGTTTGCATGTTCTCCCTGCCTTCGCATGGGTTTCCTCCGGGTGCTCTGGTTTCCCCCACAGTCCAAAGACATGCGGTACAGGTGATTTGCGTAGGCTAAATTGTCCATAGTGTATGAGTGTGTGTGTGAATGAGTGTGTGCATCTCCCCCAGAGATGGGTTGCAGCTGGAAGGGCATCCGCTGCGTAAAAACTTGCTGGATAAGTTGGCGGTTCATTCCGCTGTGGCGACCCCGGATTAATAAAGGGACTAAGCCGACAAGAAAATGAATGAATGAAATAAATGTGGAAAAATTAAAACATGAATCACAAAACATGGAAAGCTGCTAATAATACAGATATTTTTACAGTGTAGTTATGAAACTTAAAACCCAGCATGTCTTTTTAATAGGGAGTCAATTATTAATGCCTCGTGCATATTGCCAGTTATAGTGCTTTCCTCTCTGCCCATTGCTGACCATCTCAAGACACCCTGACCCACACCAGCAAACACATGCTCCTGATAAAGAGGCCAGTTCGGCCCCCAGCTCCTGGGTTAGTCACAGTACTCTTCCCTTCACTGGGAAACAGCCACTTCAAAGAGCACTTTTACACCCAGAGGCTCCTGATGTCCTCTTAGTCACCTCACACACACACACTCCAGCTTCAGGGCAGGAAAAAATTGATTGATTTAATTAACATAATCAGACGCTGATGTTGTCACAGAAGTCAGAAACCTGTATGAGATGTGTGTTTCGTTATGAGTATGACTTACAAAATTCTGGAGGTAGTTTGTTTTCTTACCTGAAGGTTTTATCTGTCATAAACACTGGTGAATTCTTGAAACAAGATGCCATTGAAAAGAGAAGTCTTTTGCATTTCAAGTACTGTAAATTGGTGGAAAAGTCTGAAAATGGACCTGGAATGTGCTTGAAAAGTGCTTAAATTGGACTTGTGTCCAAAAAATGTAATAACCCTGTTCACCGGAAGCACGTTTAATTTAAAATATATGCAAAACTCAAAAGTTTTCTTACCTAGAGGTTTTATTTGTTGTAAAAAAAAAAAACAGGATGCAAAAGAAAAGAGAAGTCTTTTGCATTTTAAGTACTGTAAATTGCTGGAAAAGTCTGAAAATGCACCTGAAATGTGCTTGAAAAGTGCTTAAATTAGACTTTGGAAAAGATGTAATAACCTTGTTCACCGGAAGCGCATTTATTAATAAAAAAATACAGTCATTGTGAAATATTATTACCATTTCAGATTAGGACTTGCAAATTAAAACAATTTATAATATATGCAAAACTCAAATAGTTTTCTTACATGGAGGTTTTATCTGTTATAAATGCTGGTAAATTCTTAAACCAAGATGCAAAAGAAAAGAGAAGACTTTTGCATTTCAAGTACTGTAAATTGCTGGAAAAGACTGAAAATGCATCTGGAATGTGCTTGAAAAGTGCTTAAATTGGACTTTAGTAAAGATGTAATAACCCTGTTTAACAGAGGCGCATTTATTAATCAAAAATACAGTCATTGTGGAATATTATTACCATTTTTAAATTAGAAAATGTATATTAAAACAATTTATAATACAGTATATGCATAACTCAGTGGTTTTCTTACCTGGAGGTTTTATCTGTTATAAATTTTGGTTAAAAAAACAAGAATCAAAAGAAAAGAGAAGTCTTTTGCAATTTAAGTACTGAAAAATTACTGGAAAATATTAAAAATGCACCTGTAATATGTTTGAAAAGTGCTTAAATTGGAATTTGGAAAAGGTGTAATAACGCATTTATTTAATTATTTTTTTTAAATATTTTATTTATAACAGTTTTTAATAGCACTTTTTATCTATAATACGTTTTTATAAAAATAAAGAAAAAATACAGAAAAAATTATTAAAAACTATTTTAAAATTTTAATAAATGAATAAAAAAAAAAAAAAAAGCAAGCGCCAGTCCATCCAAACATGCACCATAAAGAGTAAATAATATACATCAAGTTTTACTTGACCAAACTCAAAACATTGAAAAGTGATATATAAGAGCTCTACTTTCAACTCTTAAAAACATAAGCAAGGAGAAAGGCCTCAGATTCTTTCAAACTTTTTAGAAGCATCTGCCCTAGCAAAAAGAATTCTTTCAAGCCTAGGAACAGCAACCATTTCAGTGAGCCATTAATGAAAAGTAGGTGGTAAAGTGGACTTCCAATCCATCAACATCACCCTTTTAGCCACCCCTATACCAAACATAATAGACATTTCCTGATTATGTGACCATGCTAGCATCCAAACAGGGCTAATTCAATATCTGGGCTAATGTTTTCTCCCAAAACATTTGAATAAAATGGAAAAATATTTTTCCAAAACTCTGGGATCTCAGGGCAAAACCAAAAAGTACGAGCATACGTTCCCTCTGAGATTATGCATCTCTCACATAACGGGGAAACTGAAGGGAATCGTGCATTAATAGAACAGGTATGTTCCTTCCCAGGTCTCATTTGAAATGTTAATTCCAATATCTTCTTCCCATGCCAATTAATGGTGATCAGAAGACACGGCAAATTGGTAGACAAACAAGGAAACAAACTGCGTCACTAGATGCTTGGCCTTATAAGGTTTATAGGCATGTTTATTATTAAAAAATATAGTCATTGTCAAATATTATTACCGTTTCAAATTAGAAAATGCAAATTAAAGCAATTTATATTAGGGCTGCACAATATTGGAAAACTGACATTGTGATATTTAGTTTTCGAATTTGATATTTAGTATTACGATATGAATATAATTTGAGTAGGTGGCGGTTGCGTAGTGGGTAGCGCTGTTGCCTCCCTACAAGAAGGTCGCTGGTTCGAGTCCTGGCTAAGTCAACCAATCAACAAAACGTTTTACTTCAAAATTGCTAGAAAATTTCAGAACCAGTTCCAAAGAAAGCGTGTGCATGTGCGTGTGTGCGTATGTGTGTGTGAGAGAGAGAGAGTGTGCATGCTAGTGTGTGTGTAGTAGTAGTGTGAGGTCCATCAGAAGGTGCAGGAGGGTTGATTGAAGAGATCTGACGAGCGAATGTCAGGTTAATTATGAGTGAGATTGAGAGACTGATCTGTTTAATGAGTCCGACGAGAGAGCTGCTGAAATTGAGGCCAGTATGAAGCATGAAATCTCAAACGCTCAGAGTAATAAAGACTGGCACACACACACACACAGCTGAATGAACCACACTGGGGATTTTCTCTCGCTCTCTCTCTGGCCTTGGTGTTGGTTTTAACTCATATGTTGTGTTTTATCAGTTTTTATTTGTTTAGTTAGAGCTTAGATCTCTGGTCAGATGTTTAGGAGTGACTGATCACTGTATTAAGCTTGGTTAGAAGTGAAGTTTGATTCACAAATGAGTCATTCATGTAATTTGGTTTAAGGCTTTTCATTTTCACATGTGTAGTTTTTGTTAACTAAATCTATTAAAAAGGTTTTGGTAATTAAATAAAAATCAAATATGATAATCATGGCCTGGTTTCACAAACAAGGCTAAGCTAAGCCAGGATTTGATCTTAGGTAAATCAAAGCATCTTAAATACACAGCAAAGGCAGCACAGAAATCAAACCTGAAGTGGCATAAATTTGTGAAAATGTGCATTTATGTGGGCCAAAGATGCCCAAAGTAGGGCCCGCTGGCTAAAGTTGGCGAGTGGTAACCTTTAGTTTGGCCTAGTGATGCGCGGATGGCCAGTATATCAGCGGGCGCTGCGGATAATCCGTGGGCTGGGCGGGCCGGGTAATAAAAAAATTCATTATGATTAATTGCGGGTGGGTTGCGGGTCGATGGACTAGCGAAAATCAGAGAGTGGGCTTTGCAAACTGGGAAGATGAGACACCCAAAATAATGGATGAAGTGCAAGAGAACTGTTAAGACTTGCAGTTAGAGGAGTAATCAGAGGAAAATCTGCTTTCGTTCTGGAAGAAACAAGATGGCTTATTTCCGCAACTGCAACGCCTTGCGAGGAGAATCTTGTGCATTCCTACAACAAGCGGTGCGAGCGAATGCTCATTCAGTGCAGCCAGCCGTGTTTTGGAGACGAGGCGGAATCGCCCGAATCCAGGCCAATCCAATTTTTACTTTCTGTATCTATTTAAAAATGAAGAAAATGTTGTCTGAAGACAATGGGATGGGGAGGAGACCTTCAGTTTATTTGTTTTATTCCTGATGTACTAAAAAAGCCACTAAAATTAAATGATTCAATTACATGTTGTAAATGAATCAGACTTTTAAAATGTAAACGCTGTCACTTGATAGATAGAGGACAATGCACAAATCATCTGCGAGCAAGGCAAAGTAAAGGCAAGAGCAGCTCGACTAGTGTATTCACTAGTGTATTTGTGCATTTTATAAAACAACTTATTATAATGGACATTTCAGTCAGTTTATGAACCAAATACAGTGCTCGGCATAATTGAGAACACATTTCTCAGTAAATATAGGCAATGTATTTTGGTGCATTTTAACAAAACAGATTTAGTAAACAGATATATTTATTAAAATAATATTTTAGTCTATTTAGAAATTTAAAGATGATAGAATTAATTTCAAGCAAAATATTGCAAAAAAATAAAAAATATATTTTTTTTTTAAATTTCAACAAAAACTTTCAATTTGTTTCTCTTGATTTTTCCTCTTTTTAAATTTGTATTTAATATTTTTCTATAACATAAATTTGGCTGTACTAGTTTTTGCACTGTTATCGTCAGTTATTTTATTAGATGAGCTCCAGATTTGTCTTCAGTATTGACTAATCTGGATGGGTTTATACTTGTCTTTATGTGTTTATATGTTCATGTTTATATTTTTATATGTTGAATTATTTTAGTTTACATTGATTAATTGTGACTGGTTGGGGTTTAATGTGGTTTAAAATGCTACATTTGAGAATATGTACAGATGTTTATACTTACCTTTTAATTAGTGGATGTTGGTCTATGTTAATGGGGTGGGGCTTCACCTTTAAAAGGCAGCCCCAAACAACAATTCAAGGTCAGTTCACCTGGCGAGCGAGCGAGCTACTGTGGTGCCGTAAGCGATCTGTGACTTGCATATTTTGATTGTGATTGTACATATATCGTTTTGTTTGTTGTTTATTTGTTCTTTTATTTTTTGTTTGTTTTGCTACTTTGCTGAGTTTTGGGTTTCACTTTCGTACACTGTAAATAAACCATCACTTTACACGTTATTTCAGCGAGTTTGGCCATCATTTTGAGGTTTTCTCATTTTTTTATATACTTTGAGAACCCACTACGAGCCTTCTTGGCTCTTAAACCTCACAATAATGTATATGCACAAATATAGTATTGTATAGCTTCCTATTAAAAATTTAAAAGAGAGATTTTTGAGGGGTGCACTTATTTATGCTGAGCACTGTATGCAAACTTTAAAAAATGCTGGGTTATTCCAACCCAAATTTGGATAAAATATGAAGCACTGGGTAATTTTTTTATTTTGTTTTAATATATTTTATAGGCCAATTTACACCAATTTTTTGTGTGTATTTAGTTTCAAATAGCATTTTTAGAGTGTATTTAACTTCAGCAAAAGTCAATGTATGAAAATTTGAATCTGAATTGGTTCATTGAAATAAACCTTTACTGAATCAAAATGAAGACATTATCCATGCTGTGCTGAATTTTAAAGGGATAGTTCTCCCAAAAAATTAAATCCCCTCATCTCTTACTCCTTTTAAACCTTTTCTTTAATTTTCTGTACACAAAAATATCTATTTTAAAGAATGCTGGTAGCTGGCAACCCTCAGCTTTCATAATAGGAATAAAATATTACTATCAAAGTCAATGGATAGCATTGGAGCAATGGAGCATTCTTCTAAATATCTTCTTTTGTGTTCAACAGAAAAAAAAAGAAACTGGTTTTGAATAAGTGAAGGTTGTATTTTGCCGTACTATCCCTTTAATATATTGCACAGCATCCACAAGGCCTTCATTTTGATTCATCTGACTGGTTTATTTGGTAACACTTTAGTTTACAACCCGGGCTCATTGTGGAAACGTAGCCCCTCGGACGTTTCTGCGGACCGCGATTTACGTCCCGGGAGGTACGTATTCAAGCGTTTTTTGTTTTCGCGGATCCGCGCCGTTCTCGCGCAAAAAGCCGCCGGATCGGTCGACTCGGCCGCCCTCCTCTTCCTCCTCCTCCTCCTCCTTCCCTAAACCCGAGCGACGGTTCGCAAAAGCCGTCCAGAAAAAAAAAAAGCAAAAGCCCTCGTCTTCGATTTCGACAGCATTTTCGGATCCCGCCACGTTCTCGCCCTTATTTTTCGGATTCCGTTTTTCGTCTTACCTGATTTCCGGAAGCGCTGTTCCCCGGACTCTATCCCGGTCGTCGTCCACCGCGGCCGGCTCCTCCTCCGGGGCCTCCGCTCCGCCGACGCAACGCTGTGAGCTAAGTGGACAAACTGGTTGCATCCGGAAAGCCCTCCACTCGGAGGCGAGCCGTTGGCCGGCGAGCGCGAAGAGGAGGGGCGGAGCGACGCCACACCGCCCCGCAGTGTTCGTTTGAAAAAAACTAAACGCGGCCTATACGTACCTCCGGCCACGTAAATCGCGGTTTCCAGAAACGTCCGCGGGGCTACGTTTCCAGAATGAGCTTGGGTTGTTAGTTTAGGTCTTAATTCACGGTATTAACAAACCATTAACTAACACTAATAGCTTAATAAACTACTAGTTAACTGTTTATTAACAGTTAATACGGTAGTTGGGTTTAGGTTTTAGGTAGGATTAAAGATGCAAAATAAGATCTGCCTTATAACTACTAAAGAACAGTTCATATCTTAATAATAGGAAGGTAATAAGGCTATTGTTAATAGCAGGAATTAAAGTGTTAGCATTTATTTTAATGAACCGATTCATAAATTGATTCATATGCATGCAGTATACTGTTGTGATATATGTGCTAATGTCAGTATGTCTGTGTGTGTGTGTTTTCTCCAGCCGCTGTGGACTATCTGGCCAAGAATGTGAGTCTGTCCACTCAGAGACGGATGAAGCTGGGCGATCATTCAGCTGTGCTGGGACTCCTGCAGGTGGAGACAGGACAGGCCTACTGAATCTGACCATACAAACACACACACAAGCAGCTCCTCCAGTGTGTGTGTCAGGATCTTCCTCTGATTTACAATCTGTCATGCTCAATCTGCCACGATTCTGGTCTCTTAAACAAGACAAGAGGACCAACAGCAGACGCGCAGACGGACGCCAAGAACACACACATGAGCCATTTCCAAAACTAACTGTGTGCATAGTCGTGTGTGAATCTCAGTGTCATTACAGCGCTTGTTTTCTATCGATATTGTTATTACGATTGCCCTTACAGTTGTTGTAATTATGATTATGCTAACTATTGTTTCGTTTCGTTGTTTCCAGATCCACACGTAGCATTTTTTTTTTACTCATTTGAACCCGAGGTTTGTACGTGAAATGCTGACAGTGGGCTTAAACTGGGATTGAGTATTTGTGTGTGTGTTGAAAGTGTGACTGCTGGTTTTCCACTTTCGAGCCGTGATGTTCCTGAGCGATTTGACCTTCTCCGACTTCATATTTCACTCGACATTCCATGCGAACTTGGCCACTCTGTGGGAAGTCTGGCTTTCTGCTGGGAATTAGCAGAGATTTTAGAGGACCAGCCATGCTTTTTCTCGTTTCTCAAATGCCCATTTTGTGCTTTGAATAATCTGTGAAGACAGAATTAATTGAATTACAGTTGAAGTCAAAATTATGAGCCCCCCTTTTTATTTTTCCCCCAATTTCTGTTTAATGGAAATATTTTTTCGACACATTTTTAAACATAATAGTTATAATAACTCATCTCTAATAACTGGTTTATTTTATCTTTGCCATGATGACAGTAAATAATATTAGACTAGATATTTTTTTAAATACTTGTATTCAGCTTGAAGTGACATTTAAATGCTTAACTAGCTTCATTAGGTTAAAGTGAGGGTAATTAGGCAAGTGATTGTATAACAGTGGTTTGTTTCAAAACAAGTATTGCATAAAGGGGCTAGTAATATTGATCTTAAAATGGTTTAAAAAAATTTAAAACTGTTTTTATTCTAGCCGAAATAAAACAAAAAAGACCTTCATCCAGATGAAAAAATATTATCAGACATACTGTGAAAATTTCCTTGCTCTGTTAAACATCATTTGGGAAAAAATTCAATCGGTGAATAATTCTGTCTTCAACTGTGTTAAAAATAATAATGAATAAATAAATAAGAATTTTTATTAAAAAGAAAAGATAATTTGAAAAGAGACAAAAACTTGTAAACATTCATATCGAAAAATGCAATGCAACATTTATCATTCCACTTACTCTAGATAATACAGTTAGATTTTAAAAGCTAAGTCAAATATGTCGAATGTACAAGTGGTTTTTAAGACCAAACGTTTTCTTTATTTGAATTTATAATTTTTTTAAAGGACTCTCTTCTGTAACCAAGGCTGCATTTATTGATCAAAAAAGCGTAAAAGTATTGCAATTCAAAATATAACCTTCCTGTTTGAATATATTTAAAAATGTAATTTATTTCAGTGATGTAAAGCTGAATTTTCAGCATCATTACTCCAGTCTCCAGAATCACACACTAAAAAAATGAGTTCTGCAAAACAGTTGCAAACAATTTATATGGCTTGAATTTAAACAAACAAATTTGATTTTAGTAAGTAAGTCATGTGTATTTATATAGCGCATTTATCATGTATGGCCATACAGTTTTTTCCATATAGTTTGTCTAAAGCAGGCATACAATCAGCCAGCGCAGTCGTCCCTCCAGAGTAAAAAGCGACATTTTGTGTCTGCCGGTTTGTTTACTTGCGGGAGTTCATTGGCATTTTCCCGCACGTGAATTCTGACCAATCAATAAGCAGTTTAGGAAATATGTTTAACAACATCTGGCCAATGAGAGATGTGGATTTTGTCAGATGACTGCATTTTTGTTCGTTAAAACTGGTTCGGACCAAAGCCAGCAGTGGTGTGAAAACGCAACAGAAAGACGGCAGAAAATGCAACAATGGATCATTTATTACCCTTGGTGTGGACCAAATGAAGCGAACCACAGATGTGAAAGCACCCTAAATTCTTGAGGGTTTTTGAGGAAAACCTTATTCTTTCATGTTTCATCCACTTAAAATTGTTCAAGCAATTAAGGTAACTTAATCCATTTGTGTTGGGACAACATAAAGGAATTGTGTGGAGCCCAGCATTTTGTACTGTTTTTTAGTGTTGCTTTGTTCAGATATTTTGATAAATACACTAAAAAAGAAAAAAAAATGTTTTGTCGCAAATTGTTGCAAACAATTTAGATAAGCTGAATTTTAAGCTAAACAAATTAAGCTAAACACTGCTAAATTTAATTAGTTTAAATCCACTCATTTCTTTCATTTTCTTGTCGACTTAGTCCCTTTATTAATCCGGGGTCGCCACAGCGGAATGAACCGCCAACTTATCCAGCAAATTTTTATGCAGCGGATGCCCTTCCAGCCGCAACCCATCTCTGGGAAACATCCACACACACATTCACACACACACTCAAACACTACGGACAATTTAGCCTACCCAATTCACCTGTACCACATGTCTTTGGACTTTTGGGGAAACCGGAGCACCCGGAGGAAACCCTCGCGAACGCACACAGAAATGCTAACTGAGCCGAGGATCAAACCAGCAACCTTCTTGCTGTAAGGCAACAGCACTACCTACTGCGCCACTGCGTCGCCTTGTTTAAATCCAGCCCATATAAATTGTTTGCAACCACTTAACTTAAAAAAAATATCAATTTAGTGACTCATTTTTTCAGTGTGGCAAGTTTAAATGTGTTTTATGACATCGTACATGCTTTACTGTCACTTTTGATTGATTTATTGCATCCTTGGTCATTAATAATTAAAAACAAATCCAACTATCCCCACATGTTCGATAACATTCCTCAATCAATGGTTTACATTTTCTCTCCTTTTTTTTTTAAATATTGCAAACTCACTTAAAAAGCACACGCCGGGGCTCCTGTAATCACGATCTCTTGCATTCACAAATTTGTACAATAATAATAATAATAATAATGATAAGTCGTAACCTTCGGACATCGGTGTAGCACTCGACATTTTGACACATAAATGGAATTGTACAGTAGATGAAGCAGATCGTTTATTGTTTGTTTATAAAGAATATGTTTTATACTAAAACAGAAAAGGTGTCGTGTGGTAGATGAAGCAGGGGATACGTGTAAGTCTTCTATTGTAATTTTGTGTTTATATATTTACTGCTTTGCTTTTCTTTGCTTTCAATAGTTACGTATCGATTTTTTCCTATAGGATTCAAGGTGTATGTTCGAGAGGCTCTCGATTTAAAGACTCTGAATCATAATGTCATGATTCCACGTGTATTTGAGGATGAAATATTTGGACCATTTTGGAAGTGGAGACTTTTTTTTGTGACCGATGGCTTGTTTTACAGACTGTGGGAAAAACGCAGCAGAGTTTGGTGCTAAAAATGACCGTTTCATGGGGTGTGTTTGTGGAGAAGAGGACTTTAAAGAAACCACCCGCTTAATATCTTCATCAGAAAGACTTCTAGTGTCCATCCACGGCTAACACCTTTCTTAATCAGCATTTGGATATTAAAAATATTAGCCATCGGGGACGTCGGACTGAGCTCCTGCTTTCGTTAGCGTTTGTGTTTCTTTGCTTTCAGCATGTGTGTACGTTACCATGGTATAATTTATTCTGCTGTATGAAGTAGTAGCTTTAGTGGGAACCTTGTATTTGGTATTTACTACCTTCAGCCTGTTGGTGTCTTTACTGTAACACTGGCGTAAATGTTATCAATTAAAGATCTAAAACTGACTTAAAGATCAAACCTTTACTGTGTGTTTCATTTCAGAGTGCTTTTGGTTGGGAAAGGTTTGTTTATGACTTCTGACTTTTTTTGTTTGTTTGCTTGGTTTTATTAAATGATTATTGTTTTGATTTAGGCAAAGCAATGCAGAAAAAAAATATATATATTTTTTTTATTTTATATATACAGTTGAAGTCAGAATTATTAGCCCCCCTGAATTATTTGCGCCCCTGTTTATTTTTTCCCCAATTTCTGTTTAATTGAGGAACGATTGTTTCAGCACATTTCTAAGCATAATAGTTTTTAAAATGTATTTCTAATAACATATTTATTTTCTCTTTGTCATGATCACAGTAAATAATATTTTACTTGATATTTTTCAAGACACTTCTATACAGCTTAAAGTGACATTTAAATGCTTAACTAGGTTAATTAGGTTAACTAGGCAGGTTAGGGTAATTAGGCAAGTTATTGTATAACATTGGTTTGTTCTGTAGATTATCGAGAAAAGAAAAAAAGCTTAAAGGGGCTAATAATTTTGTCCCAAAAATGTTTTTTTTAAATTAATAACTGCTTTTATTCTTGTCGAAATAAAACAAATAAGACTTTCTCCACAAGAAAAAAATATTATCAGACGTATATATATATATATATATATATATATATATATATATATATACATGTATGTATATACTAAAATTTCTCACCAGATTTCCACACTTGATTGACAACATTAAGAAATTTTATATCAAATCTAAATCTTCTGTTTAATTATGCAAATTATGTATCCTTTAAATAAACCTAATTTGCATAAATGTTTACAACAAAAATTGTTGTCAGGTTTAAATTCTTTATTATTATTCTTTATTTATTTATTATTACTAAGGGGATTTTGGGAATTGTTTTTATTGCTCTATAATTTAAAGATTTAAAAACGCTGTAAACAGCCTGGAAAAATGTGTTTTTCAAAATGATTCATTCATATTCCTTAGGCTTAGTCCCTTTATTCATCAGGGGTCGCCACAGCTGAATGAACCACCAACTTATCCAGCATATGTTTTACACAGCAAATGCCCTTCCAGCTGCAACCATCCATACACACTCATACACTACAGTCATAGGGAGAACATGCAAACTCCACACAGAAATGCCAACTGATCCAGCCGAGACTCGAACCAGCAACCTTCTTGCTGTAAGGCGACAGTGCTAACCACTGAGCCACTGTGCTGCCTTTATTTATTTGTTTGTTTTGCATCAGACTACAGTGTTAATTCATCCAGTTGCAGGACCTCCAGAAGAGATTTTTAACACTATTTTAACAAACTTTTTCCCAAGATTTTTGACTCTCATTTGCAGGATGAGTTCATTCTGATTGCTGAAAGTCAGAGTCAGTTTACAGCTTAAAATAAAAATCTAAGAATGCAAATTCTTAGAAGTAAAGGTATAAGAGCTGTCACTGGGGTGGTACCATTCCAAAAGATACACATTTGTACTTAAAGGGTCCATACTGGTACCTCAAAAGTATTCATTCATTTTCTTTTCGGCTTAGTTCCTTTATTAACCCAGGGTCGCCACAGCGA